CACCCAAGAAGCTTCTATCCTTGGATAAAAATGGTGTCAAATCGCCACGGAAAGAATCAAGCCCACGGAAAGAATTTAAACAAGATCTCACCAACATCAAAAGAAGTTTAGTTCTGTGTACAGGAGACAAAGATTGTCCTGTTCATTGCAAGAGATCACTGATAAAGTGGAGCTTTTACGGAAATCAAGAAGACATTCAAGCGTTAATAGATAGTTTAAGTACAAGGGGTGTCAGGGAGAGCGAGCTTAGAAATAATCTTTTACAAGAGATGGACAATTTGCTCCTCGTTATCGATGAATGTCCTAAACACAGATTAAATCCTGAAGTTGTAAGTATATTTTTATATAGTTTATTAAAGTATACTACCTCTACACCTATAGTTATACGTAGTTAAAGGACGAAAAGTAAATGGATATTCGTACGTAGTTTTCAGACTCGAGTAAAGGGCAAATTAATAAGGCGGTTAAGAAAAATAAATATGAAAATGCAAACTTGAATTTTCCTCCTGATATGTCGATCGACGATGTGATGGAATTGACTTTGAGAGATCACATTTTGGATTTCGAAGACAAGATCAACTCGGGTTGCCTAGGATCCCTTAAGATTATCAATCGTGCCATCTGGAGGAACGCGATTAACCAGAGAAGTTACGACAAACAATGTGACAAGTTGATGTGTGCCGGTAGTGAGGTAGACATAGATACACCGCCTAATGCTTTGATAGACAAGATAAAGAACGAGTCTAAACACAGCAGACCCGGTACTCCCGACTCTGAGGTTGGGAGCATTAGCATAAAGACTTACAAGGACCCAGGAATATACCTAGGTTTACCCGGTGATGATGAAATGGTGGCCGATCAAAGGCAACAGGCAGCTGTCAAACAGCTGGCTTGTGCTATTTTACAGTTGTCCCACGCTATAGAACAAAGGTACTTACAAAGACCACTGGGACCCGATCAAAAGGACAAAAAATGGTCGGGCGAAGAGGCACGAGAGAAATGGGAACAATCGTTAATAGCGTCTACGAACTGGTCCCAGTTGTTCGTTCACTTAAGTACCTTGCATAATAGTGTCGCGTGGGACAGAAGTGGGTTAAACGCTCAGTGTCGTATATGCCGAAGGCGTAGGGATGCGGAGAACATGTTGCTTTGCGACGGATGCAACAGGGGACACCATCTCTATTGTCTGAAACCGAAACTTAATGTAATTAGTAGTTCATTATACTGACGTTTCCGTAATAGCGATCGACTGAATTATTATTTCCTCGTATATTTCCTACATATAGGCTGTACCACCGGGAGACTGGTTTTGTACAGCATGCAGACCACCGGAGATAAAACCCAAAGAAAAAGCTAAAAAGCGGAAAAGATTCGAGGATGAGCTCGAGGAAGAGACAATATTGACCAAAGAGACGCGACACAATCGCGCGAGGCGCGCACCGCAAAGCGACGACGAGGGCGACCAAGAAGACGATCAAGACGACGAGGACAGCGATGAAGATATGTAAGCTTATGTCTCCATAGCATTAAAATCTGTTATCTTAATTATTATTGTTAATGTTTTTAATTTTTTTTTTTTTTACTGTGTTAGAAACATACGACTAGAGAACTTATGCGTGTCGTGTAAAAGCGGTGGGAAGGTGATTGCTTGTGACACATGTTCGAATCGTTATCACTTGGAATGCGTAGAACCGCCATTGTCGAGAGCTCCTAGAGGAAGATGGTCTTGCACTAAATGCAAAGCTAAAAGAAGGAACGCAACGAAAGGTAATGGGGAAATAATACGAAGAAATATACGGAGGAGTTTACGGGCGAAAATGTCTCAAGGGCGTTTTTCTTTTGTTATAATTTGAGAAGAAAAAAATTTCCCGCATTTAATGTAGATCAAAAGTAGAGACGTAGACAAATTGTTATAAGGATATTATAAAGAAGTTTCTTAGCGTTAAAATTATGTTGATAGTGAGGGGGCGCGAGAGGGAAAGAGACAAGGAGAGGCTGTGCGCAGCAGCAGCACGCTCTCGCATCCATGGCTTTGCCAAGAGCCTCCTCACTACAGAATCTACAGACTGGGACGGTCTGTATTGTATCCCTTTTTTTTACTGTGTATATATATGTGCGTAGCATCACCATGGCCAATCTCTTTTTATTTTTTTTATTTTTGGAAAGCACCGCACGTTAGAAGACCCGTACGGTTCATCATCGGGGGTCTGTTCATTATTAATATCTGAATAATTCTTATAATTTTTATTTTGGGGATAGCGTACTAACCGAATGAATTATTTACTATAAATCTGTTGACTTCTGCTTCTTGTTTTCAATTATTTTATTAAACGTTTCTGTATTATCACTTATTTTTTCGGAAAGATGATATTTCTCTTTCATTAGTATGTATCTGGACAAGGAAAATTTGTATAAATTAATATAATAAATAATTACTATGTACTATAATTAATATAGATCTGGACTAATTGTATAATATCAACTTTTTTTTTTATTTTGAAATGTAGAAGTAGTCTTCTTATACAATAATTTTCATAGTGTATATAAAATCGAATAATTGAAATAAAATATGGCACGATACATGGCACACGCACACATACGCATATAATTCTTGTTTTGACCTCCGAGTAAAATGGGACTTATTATGGACAGACCCTAATATAGCATTACATCCCTGTCATGTAAATGCTTGGATACATCTTATCATCTTGGCAATGAAATTCGTAGGCTATTGCTAACCCATGTGCATATCACATGAATATCACATCGATAGAACTTTAGTTTTTAGCATGGACTTCACTTCATAAGTAATTCCATATTGAACCGACAAAATGTGATGTGCTAATTTGAAAATTTTTGATGTACAGATAGCAGTGCATCGGATGACACTGAACCGAGACAAACGCGGCGTGCGACGAAAAGAGCCGCCGAAATTGAACACGGAGACAAGAATTCGATTAGGGGATCTATGGCTAAATTGCAAGAATTGTTGACCGATATCAAGCATCACAGAGATTCGTGGCCGTTTCTGTCACCCGTTACGAAGGATGAAGTTCCGGATTATCACGATATCATCTCCAATCCGATGGACTTTGGAACTATCAAGTTCAAACTTAATAACGGCGACTACGAGACAGTAGATAAATTCTTTAGCGATTGCCAATTGGTCTTTGAAAACTGTGGATTGTACAACAAGGAACATAGTTCCGTATACAAGTAAGTAATCAACATTATTTTTATCTCTATTTCACACAAGTTCGGATGCCAGAGATTAAGATTCATGTTGCATAGATAAATCTATTAATGTTAATTAATATATAGTATTAATTTATATATTTCATCCATATTATTAACAATAATTTATTAATTATACACACACATTGATTTTAATTAACACATGTAATTATTATTAATAACACTGATAAATTAATATCTTTATCATTTTTGTATTTGTATACTAATTTAACTCAGTGTATAGATAAATTGTTGGGTGTGATTTGGATTAGGTCGGTAGAATATCACAAATCTAACAAAATGTAACAAATACAAACGCTATAATACTTGGTAAGATAATATTATCATTACACAAAAGGATAATATACATGTTGTAAATAATTAAATGTGATTAACTATTTTATAATTGCTTAACGGAAGGATTCGATTTTTCTTACGTCTTTTTACAAAATTTGCGAACGTGTTAATTCGTTTGTAACTTTAATAGACTTTGTTGTTGTTGATGTAAATAATCTTTGGCCTCCGAACCAGCTTAAAAATGTGAGTGTATGAAGCGAGGCTATGTCTGGTTAAAAATAGTTACGTGTATAGTGCAGGTATGCGATTACGCAAGTACTTCGAGAAACGCTGCAAAGAATTGGACTTGAATTTCGATGAAGCACTTTTCCAAGAAGAACCCAAAATTAAGAGGCCGAGATTGGTTAGCGATGACGACGAGGAAGACGGTGCGTCAGGAAGCGAAGACGACGAAAGTGAAGCGCAGAAAAGAAGATAGAATGAAAAAGATTAGATCTATACATATATAAATATATATATTTCATTACGATGTATACTCATGAAATTTAAATCTAGAGCCGCTCATATTTTATATATTTTGAACTCAGCATATATGTGGACTTGTATACCGATGTTGAGCGGTCGAAAGATTCTGTATGTAGCTCAAGACATTTGTAAATTGTATACTTTGATTCTTTCGACAGAGTAATATAAAATTACATTGATGACAATTCACGGAATAGTACAATTACGAAGATTTTATTCTACAGAATCACCGATGCAAATATATGAAAAAAAAAAAAGAAAAATGTCTCTACAGTCGAATTCTTCGAGGCTTGTAATAAAGACGGTACGCAGTATTATTTGCATATACATAGCCGCACATATACTTTTAGATATAATCGCGCACTCATAGAGCATTATAAAACGACATATATCAGCCGATTGGTTTTATTCGCTTCGATCAGTACAAGAATAGCATTATTTTCTTTATAGATGTAAACAAGGAGAGATGCTCGATATATTCTCGCATCGTTCAATTATTTATTTTAACATTATTCACGTAAAGCGGCAATCTATATGTACACATTGCCGTATAATTATATTAAGAATCGTTAACTGTATACATGATAAATCGCACTATAAATTTTACTTTTCTCGAAATCGTCTGTACGCGAGCTTTAATGATGAGTACGAGCACAGCTTAAAAAAAAAAAAAAAAAAAGCATAAGTTATAAAAGCGTCATTCATAAAAAACTTATGTTTGTAGATCCAGACAATAAAATTGGATACTTTTGTACTGCGTGTTCTGTGACTTATCAAACTGAGAAGTGTTATTTCAATTGTTCTGTAACACCTATGTAAATTTACGTTTCATGTTAATAGTACTTATTTTTTTCCGTTTTAGTTTATTTTTGACATTTTTTAATTTCAGGCTAGATTTATATAAGCTATGGTACAAAATATCGATTGTATTACACAGTAAAGTGTTCTTTTTAGTCATGTATATTTTATACGATTATTTTGATAACACAAATCTTCAAATAGACTTTTTTTCAACAATCCTCCTCTGCCTCTCCATAAATTATCTCACATATGATTTAAGGATTTATTTTTTCTAATTGGACAGAGAAAAGATTACAAGTTCTCTTTCTCCAATACATAATTTGTTTTAACATACAACTCTAACGATCTTCATTTTAATGATGACCAGTACCCTCGAACATTTCCCGGTGGAGTTTGTCCCACTTCGCAACGTTCTCAGGAGCGTACGCTGAAAACAGAAGTAGCGGATGATGCATATTTCGTTAAATCGGACAGACATCGAGACGTGACGTAATACTCACATAGCTTTTGAACTTTATAAAATATCGGGAACGATACAAGTGTGCCGATCAGCAAATATCTATACAGCCAACTGTGTTTTATGTAATATCTGTATGGGAACTGAGCAACCTTTGCAGTTAAGGTATATGGGTATTTCATGGGTCGAAACGGTGCGCCTTGCGACATGTTGGTCGTCTGTAACAGATTAACTGTAATTAGATCCTTTGTGCCCAATAATGTAAATGGCAATAGTAATATGACAGACTGTGCAAGAGATGTGTTAGCACAATTTTGCAAGCGTATCAAGTACATACACCAGACTAGTTAGGTCTGTAACTCTTAACGACAATGTTCTTATGTTGTATTGTCGCAGCTTTTTTATTTATTTAAATTGTATTTGTGTAACGACAATGTAACGATAACGACGCTGTCATTAAGAATTACAGAATAGAACTGCAGGTGTTCAAGCGCAGATTACACTTATGTTGATAACCTATAAAAATTATGCAAAAGGATTTCCTCTCTCGTTATATATATTCAAATCACAAAAAATAGAGGTCATACACGATTCACATTGTTAGTGCAAACAGAATAAGTTTGGAATAGTGATTTCAATCGACCGATCATAAATCCTTGAAGAAAGAAAATGACAGGCGAACAGACGTGTGACGATTTAACCTCGCTTATCGCTAGCGATTGTTAGATAAATTACAAAAGGAAACGATTATATCGTGCGCTCGCTTTTTTAACTTCATGTTTAACAGTTTTTAATTACTCACTTTTGGATTTATAATATATTACGATAACAACTGCGTGGAATTATGTAATGTATCTATCCTTCTCCGAATCGTAGGCGAAGGATGCGGCACGAGTAAAGAAATAGAGGGGCATACCTAATAAGAATCTGGCCTGATTGGCTACGCTACTTCTTCGTGGCGGCACTTCGTATTCCCGCCCACATTTGCAATTTGTTGGGCTACCACAGGCTACCATACGGTTATTTATTTTCATTGCTTCTCACATCCACAATTAATTATTAATCGATGATGCAAAAAATTAATTTCTTTATAAAACTTAAAAAATTTTGTATAATTTCAAATTTTTCGTATGACGTAGTCTTATTGAGATGAAAAAAAGCGGAGTCGAACTCTGCGACGACTGCGCCTTGTGGAACAAAAACCACTTCTAAACTGTGAAATATCCAACTTTATTTGATAAATACAATTGTTTGTAACCTAATACATCGCCAATTGAGAGCACAATCAGTTTCCTCCTTTCTTTTTCTTCCTAATATCAGATTCTTTTTTTGTTTTCATAACAACAGCGCGATTTCTCGCGAAATTTTGTACAGTCGAATTTTTATATTTATTTATCAGGTCTGAGTTAGCATGTCTATTCTTAATTTTCCTTTTAGTCCCCATTTCGATTGGTCTGGCCAGACAATCTAATTCAGTCTTGACATAATACAAGAGCTCGACTGTAACAATGTGTAACAAAGCTTGAATAAAATCTACGAATGTTACGGATAGAACGCTTGTAGGTTTATTATTGCTTGTTAACACTCCTCATTTCATCAAAGCGTGTACCACTGCTTTGGCATTCAATGATTTTAGATCGGTGTAAGTTTGGCCGGTTCCAACAAAAACAATAGGTTGACCAGTGATGTATGTCATTGTGATAGCTGCGCCGACCTGTAAATAATATTTGTGAGTAAATGCTGCGTAAAAAATTAATAGATATTACGTAGGAAAATATATTTCCTATGCATATATATATATGGTGTGTTATATTATATTTAATATATTTTTATAATAATCAATATATTAATATAAATATAATAATATTTATGTTCTATATATATAAAAATTAAATTACTTAAAACGAGATCAAACAAAATATAATTTTTGCAGCACAAATATCAATCCTACAGAATAATTCTTAATTGTATATTTTCGTATTTCAGGAATCAAGAACTTCAAGTTCTACAAAAAAAAATAAATATGTGATAAAGATTATATAGAAAGAAAAACTTACTTTATCATCGATCGTATCGAACTTCGTCAACACGATACCGTCGATAATATGAGGATTGGCAGATTGACTGTAGTCAGCTAAGGCTTGATTGAATTTCACCAGCTGATCCACAGCTTCGTTGCCGACGAGAGCTTCCCCCACGAATAATACCAAGTCCGGCTCGTTCACTTTAATCAGCTTCGCCAGAGCTCGCATCAACGGTTCATTATCCTGCATTCTACCGGCAGTGTCGACCAGGACAACATCAACCCTGGAGTCCCTCGCAAAGCGTATCGCTTCCATGGCGATACCCGCGGCATCCTTACCGTAACCCTTCTCATATAGCTGCACCATCGATTGATTCCCATGCTTCTCTGGTGGATGTAGAGCGTTCAGATGCCGCATATGCGTCCTCAGTTGTTCGACAGCTCCAGCTCTGAATCATAAAATGATTGTCATTATAGGTTAAATTAATTGTAAAACTGTTACACATGAAACTTGTTAGAATTTATACTATACAGAATGAAGCATGTTATAAGTGACAAATTAATATCTTAGGAAATATTTATTTTGAAATAATTAAAATAAAAGAAATGTATGTGCGTATAGAAAAATAAGAGAAATGCTATAAAATAAGAGAAATTGTATTTCAGAGACACATTTATAAGATATAATAAGATATTACTATTAAATAATAGTAATTTAATTTAAAAAATAATAATAGATCTTTAAAAAATTGGTGGGCAAAATCAGCATGCTTTGTTAATTTTGTCAATATTCATTTACCTGAATGTATCGCATGCAGCTATCAACACGCGGAAATTATTTTCTATTAACCAGAAACAGATTTTGGCCAAATTCGTTGACTTGCCGACCCCGTTGACGCCACAGAAAGTCATCACGTAAGGCCTGTTACTCTTCTTCGCTTCTAAAGCGTCTCGCAGAATATCGATTCTTCTCTTGGGCGACAGTATTTGTACTAGAGCGTCCGTTAGGGTGGTTTTAACGGTGTTTGCTACGCTGTCGAAGGTGCCAAGTACTTTTCCTTCCAGCTTCGTACCAACAGAATCGCATAACTTTTGCGCGATGTCCGCGGCAACATTCTTGGTGATTAAATGATCCTTTAGTTTCTCCAAAACCGGTAACATATCATCCTGCTTTAGAGATTTGCTGCCGACCAGACTCTTGAACATGGAGAACATACTCGTTTTTTTCTGCATCTGCTGCTGCTTGGATTGCTCTATCTCTTCCTGATCGGAACTATCTTCAGAATCGCTGTTCACTTCGAGATCGCGTATACTACCTTTCATCTGTCCAACTAGCTACAGGGAAAGCAACGGAAGATATAAATGAACAATATAAATAATGAAAATATATATGACAAATCTCAATTTCTTCGGCTGACAATCAGTTCATTCAATATATTTTATTTCTTTCACACTTCTCTTCGTCCATTTTATTTCAAATTATTTTCTTCGATCCGCCATTGTAAGAATTAACTCATTCTATATTCACTAACAATTATATACAATTTTTTTATACACGCTTTTCCAAAAATAAAAAAAATGAAACGATAGAACCTGATTATCAATTTGAAAATATTAAATCGATCAAAGAAATTCATAAGATTCTCAGTCTAATCAAATAGAAAGTAGGAAATAAACTTGATATTAAAAGAATGCAAAAGAAAAAATATTACAGCTGTATTGGCTGCCACATAATCGTCATTCTCTTCGGGCTTGTCTTTAGTTCGCTCTAATGTAGCAAGATCCTTGGTTGTGCCACCCAATTCCCAGATGCGCGGTTTCTTGCCAGCTTTCTCAGGTTTAGGACTTTTCCTGGTACGATATTTGTTTTTATTACGTTATTAATTTTTATAAATTTGTTATTTTATATATATTACAATTAAAAATTCTTTTTTATAAAAATAAAATTAAAAGAAATTAAAAAAAGAATATATGCTTACTGCTTGTCGGCTTTCTTCTTTCCCGCCATTTTCTGAACGAGCTTCATACGATTGGTAATCAATGTTTCTTCATCGAGTTCCCCATTATGTTCCACTTGCTGTTTCGGCAACTCCTGTTTTGGAATATCTTGAATTTTTGCTGCAGCATTAAAATACATTTAATTTAATACAAAGCATTAAGTAAAGAAAAAAAAATTCCAAATAAAATTTTAACAAACTAAAGTTATATTTGTTAATTTTATTATTTTATTCATGCAATATTATACAATAGCACACCAGCATGCAAGGATTTCGCAAATGCTACTTACTATGATAATCCCCATTACAGTTATTTGCTTTCTTCTTTTTACCTAGAAGCGAAGAAGAAAATCACCGCTGTTTTAGCATCATCCAAATTGAGAAGGAAAAAATTACCGAATAAAAATAGCTTGTAAGTCCAAATGCTACATCAGTTTCCTTACTGTTTCGTACCGCGAAAATAAAATAAGCGTGATATTCCTATATTTCTACTATACTATATTTCTTCTTTCCCTGAGAACATTGTTATTGCATAAATCTTATTTTTGTAAATTCTACGTTTGTATGTGTGTAAACTTTCCCTTATACAGCAAACCTGAATATTATGTTTACAAATGACTACAAATAAGATTTACCCTTCTTTTACTTTTTTCTTTTAAATTTAGATTTTAAAATTCAAGCTCATTTTTCTCAAAATTAAATAAAGCTATATACACTGTTAACGCATTACGAAGTAATTATACTGTTAGTTATGATTATACCTGGCTTCTTATCATCTTTATCGTCCTTTCTCTCGATCATACTAGCGACAGTCTTCTTGGATTTCTGACTCTCGTCAAAAGTGCGCATTTGCTTCGGTATCTTAGCCTGTGAGCGCGACCAGTGTTCAGCTCGTTCGAGCACCGAACGATAGGCTGGTTCAAATTCAAAATTGGCGAACCAGCTTGAATTCTCGAGCTCGTTCTTGAAGCGATCCCTAAACTCCAAATGGATATCATTCAGAAATTTATCCACGTAGGATAACTGCAGTATCTTCTGATACGCCACCACAAATACCAGCTCGAACTCGTTGTCGAGTTTATACTGTAGTCGCAGGGAGTCATGATCAAAGCTGTGATTCCCTGTACGTTCCTGAAAAATTAGTTTTTGTAAAGAACCTCATCTTCTTAAATCTCACAGATACATAGAATTACTAATAACATATATTAAGAAGAAAAATTCATTTTACATATTTAATTCTTTAACTAAGTTCTATTTACTTTTAATATTTTATATAAAACTATATATGTATATTGACAAGAGTTTTCATTACACCAGCACCGACATTTCACTTTTTTAGATGAAGCAGAATTATTACCCAAATAAACTTTTCACAGAAAAATAAAATACAGGAAACTTGTTTCTTTTTTTATAACATCCATTCTTTTTATTTAATTTTATTTTATTTACAAAGCAAAAAAATCTTTCACAAGACAATTTGTTTTGACAACTCTAACCATATGGTGCATTTAACCTAACGACCTCGTTCTTACTATTATGTACAACTAGTTCGCAAATTCAAAGAACATCTATAGATTTTGAAACAGTTTTCAACCAAGCTTTACATATATAAAACATATATTCCTTTTTTATATTATACTACTGGACTACTCTATTTGTTGAAATGACAGATCGAGAAAAAGATAAAAATCTGAAGACATGTGACATGTGAGAACAGATACCTGCGGTATTTAAAAAATATAAATAAGATTACTGTCGAGAGGAGTCGACGATCAAGTAGATCAGAACGTGAGTTTAACGCGAGGAGATTCGAGGAGATGCGTCGTGCAATACGGGGTCAAAGGTCGTCAGACCGCCGACTTGTGCCTGTCACTCCTGTCAGACGGTCACACTCTCGCGACTCACCTGCAATATAACGCTCCTTATCAGGGCATTGACGCTGGGCGCGAAAATCTGGGACGTGCTCTGGAAGCACCAGAGCACTATGCCGCCCTTGCTGAATATCGTGAAAAGATCGAGCATGATTCTTACGATGCTTAAACGCGAGAGACAGAAATAGAGAAAGAGAGAGAGAGAAAGAGAAAACCTGCCTCTTGTACACGGTCGAACGACGACTTTCGACCTAACCAGGAGAGGCGCAAAGCGCAATGAGTGACGGCGATTTTCTTGGGACGCTTTTGCCAGGCCGTACGTACAGTAGCGCCACACATCCACCTTCAGGAATTGGAACTACGAGTCACATCCACTTTTCGATACTGTCGATGAATTTGGTTCGTGTCCGTGCTACATCCACTTTTTGAAACTGTCGGTCATTTGGTTCATGCGCAGTGCACTGCACATGGTCGATAAACAGGCACCTACTAAGACCTACTTCGCGCGAGTCGCCGTTGTCCGCCATTGCTCCACCGGCGCCACCGGCGGCAGCGGCGCCGCAGCGCGCAAGATGCGACGTGAAGAAGAAGAAGAAGAAGAAGAAGAAGAAGACGAAGAAGAAGAAGAAGAAGAAGAAGAAGAAAGAGGAAGACCTATTTTGTGAAAATTTTCAGAAATCTACAAATTAATTACAATCCATACCAGATTTAATTAGATCCTACATATTTTGATCATTGCAACTTTGTGAATTAGAAATCAACAATTAAAAAGGAGGAACTGCTCCAGCAAATATAACCTATAAAAATGGTGGTGTAATGTTTTAGTAATAATAAAAGGAAAATAAAAGAACATAATTTCGGTGATCACTTGACGTGTATGTAACATTTCTGAAGTCGCTTCGATTTCTTAAAAACGAGATGTTATTCACGATCGAGAGATACGTGATTCGCGCGAGTGCACGGTATTTACAACGATGTTTCTCGAACAGTGTTGACGTTTCGGCACGAGAATTCGTTCTGCAACCCAACGAGAGTCCTACGTCGATACGTGCCGGAGCCCAGAAGTCTCTAAAAATTGCCTTCCTAGGCGTACCAAACGTTGGAAAAAGCAAAATTGTTAACCAACTTATCAAGCAATCGGTAATCATCTTTAAATTAAATGCATAAATTTGTATACTTGTATAAATTAAATTATCTTGTCTACATAGGTTTAATTTATTAAGTTGTCTTATTTGTATCTCTTACCTGCACAAAAATCATAAAGAAGGAGCATTCTACAAAAGTTTATTACAAAAATTTATATTATTTATTTTTACTTTATTATTATCACATATATGGAGGAGTAAAAACCATAGTAGTGTAAGTCAAATTTTTAAAAATATTTTCTCGTGCGCATAGATGCAATTTATGTATTGTACAGATTGCATTTATCCACACGAGAAAATATTTTTAAAAATTTGACTTGCACCACAATGGTTTTTATCCCTCTATATGTACAATTCTTCATATACATATTACGTCTTTAAATAGGTATGCCCTGTGTCTTGCAAGGCGCACACCACACAAGCTAAAGCGCATGCAATATATTGTGAAGGTGATACTCAGCTGATATTCCTGGACACCCCCGGCATGGTCTCCACGAAAGAGTCTAAAAAATTCAAGTTAGCCAGTAGCTTCAAAACAGATCCAAAGACTTCCTTGCAAGCGGCAGATATTGTGGGAATTGTGCAGGACGCAGAGAATGTATATACCAGGCACAAGATTGATACAAACATATTAGAACTCTTGATGGATGATATAAGAAGCAAGATTCCTATAATTCTGGTCATTAACAAAGTAGACAGACTAAAGAAAAAGGAAATATTACTCGATTTGATACACACTCTGACCAAGAGCAAAAAATCTCCAGATTTCTATGACATATTTATGATATCCGCCTTGACTGCATGGGGATGGCATTAACGATTTGAGGGTAATGACTATTGTAAATAATATTTATATAATTCTTGGAAATGACAATATAATTCCCATATTTGGAATATTTGTACCGTCTGTATTTCATTATTTTTTTGTGCTTTGCAGACTTATTTGTTAGACACGGCTAAGCCACGAGCCTGGGAGTACGAAGGGCATGTTTACAGCGATAATACGTGCGAGGATGTAATACGACAGACGGTGCGGGCAAAGTTCATGGATATTCTGCCGAACGAGGTTCCATATCGTTTACAGGTGAAGTTGGAACACTTTGATCCAGCACCCGACGATAGTATCAAGGCACTGGTGTCCGTCACGTGTCCAAACAAGCGAATTGCTCGTCTACTAACGCGCGGCAGCAATAACAGAATAGGTCAGACCGCCGTTATAGCAGAGGAAGCACTGCGGCACGCTTTTCGAACGTCGGTGAGATTGAAGATAAGCGTGCAATCTCCATCGTGATTCGGCTTGTATTTGTTATTTGTAAAATAAAGTTGAATATCGCTTAATCTCGCATTTATAAAGTTAAATGTTTGCGATAAGATTAATTTTTTAATACAAACCGAAACCAAAAGTCAAGCGCCGATTTAAAAATATATTTCTACATTGCGTTACCTAACAACTATATAGACTCCTATTTATACTATACCGCTTGTTATTTAATTATATATTTAATTCTAATACTATGCCGTTTTTTTAGAATATATTTTGTTGGTTCAAACATATTCCAAAACTTATAACTTTCTATTCACGGAGATGTACATGAAAAAATATATTTATACATTGCATATTAAATCTTTATTTATTGGAAGAATAGTTTTTAAACAAAGTATTTCTAATTTTTGGAAAAAAATGCAATCAGTAAAAATAAAAATACATATACACTATTCTAATTTTTGAAGATAAAAAAATTTTTTACACCGTACAAAAATAGAGGTGTAGGTACTTTTAAACTTTAACATTTAAAATATAATATAAAGTAAAATATAAGTAAATGTAAGTAAAATATAACTGTATTAACATATGTTAATGTGTAGGTACATATCTCTATCTCTATAACACAATCTGTTATTTTTACATATTTCTTCGTCACATTTACATGACGGATCACAGCTGTTGGAATTCTTCACGCAACCGCACATTCGTGAGGAGCAGTTCCCTTTACAGCTACAACCAGTGGCTTTCCAGGTTTGAACTGGCCTTGCCTGTGAAATAATCAGTTATTCCATCAGTCATAATAGTTATTCCATAATAAAATTTGTTCATAGGTTTAGAATTATAAGCAAATATTTTAAAAATTTAAAGAAAGGAACTATTTACAGATATGACTAAGGCTGCATTCCGATATTCACCGTC